ACCTGCCCAGTTGGGGGAACGATCCCATGCTTGAGCCAAACACTTCACAGGCTTCCATGGCACATTTAGATCGCTGTCATCAACCATGGTCTGTTGGCATCAGCGCCTGGCTGGCTCAGATGAGCAGGAAACACCTTGAACTTGGAAATGATAAGGTTGACCTGTCCCCATTTACTTGGTCCAGCCCATAATTGCAATGATTTATTTCTCCTGTCAAAGCTGGAGGGAATGCGCTCCATCTCCTCTTTGCATTTTTTGTCTGTCTAAGCTTTTACCTCTTTTCTGCAGTTTCTGCTTTGCAGTTAGCATTTAGATGTACATCCAAATATGTGAGGCTAATTCATCTAAGTACATTCTTTTGTGTTCATGCTGCTTTAGTATGCCTGAGTGTTTCCAGCCTTCTGGCATTGACAACCTATCAACATGGCCATGTGCTTATGTGTCAGATGCTTGATGCCCCCAGCGATGGCATGACGCCCCAAGGACTCGAACAGACCAATGGCCTCAGGGAAGTCCAGATAGGCCCATCTTCTAAAGCTTCACAATGAACCTGTCAGTCACCTGTCAGCCCCTCCTCGCTGTCCTGCTCCACTAAGCCAAGGATCCCCAACCTCCCATGTTTCTGATGTCCTGTCTGCTATTGGGACTTCAAATAGATGGAGACACCTCAGATTTTTTTATCGCAGAAGATCTTATCCAGAATTGTAAGGAGCAAAATTCTTATGATATATAAATGTAAGCAAAGATTAATATCTAAAACAGCAATAAAATGATAAATACATAATGTGAAAGTTAATAGATTAAACATAAAATATTTGACTAGAAGACATAATAAATTGTTTTAAAGTTTAGTTTATATCTAATCTTTCAGCTGCTCTCATTCAGGGATGCTGAAGACCACAGTAAGAAAAAGACACCTCACCTCATAAAATTAAACATTATTGAAGCATTAAAATAGCCTTGTAAAGATTATGCATAAAATTCTGAACTCTGACCGGGCCATTCCAAGACAATGATATTACTTCCAGTCAGAAGTAATATCAATATAATATCAGAAGTAATTTTAAACCTAACCTAAACTAACCTACATCAACATTGGATGACTGTACAATCCTTCATGCAAAAGCCTTGCATCAAAGTAAATATAATTTAGAATTTCGTAAATAAAACACTGGCTCTTGTTTTGACTGAATGTAAGCAGTTTTTTCAAGTCTGTCATAAAAGAACTGTGTTAGATATCATAACTGACTTTGTGTAAATTGGTCCCTTCTCCATTTTCTTCAGATGATACATTCTAAGACATGTTTCCCCGTTCTAATTGAAATTATAATATCATCTGACAATGTGTGGAAGGAGATAAAGTTTTTCAAAGAAGCCAGCAGCTGGGGAGACAGACATCTGATCAACCTCTCCAAATAAATACACTTTAGACCTTAAATACATTAAAATCTGGACAAAGGTTATTTTTAATGAAGATTCAAAACATTTTAGTTTCAATAATTATAGTTGAAACCAGTTTAGCTCTGGGTGAAGACATTTTTCTATTGTCAACTTCCCTTGGTCTAGTTTCCTTACTTCTAGGAGATTAAAACAGCAGCCGGCCTCGGTCTTACAGCCTGCTGAGTGTTTATGCAGCCTCCCTGGTTAACAGTTTCCACTCTGCACCTGTTCAAAGCCTGTAACGTGGACGGTTCCCTAAGTGAACCCTGCAGGAGAGAAGGTAACAGTGGAAATATGTGCTAGAGTCAACACTTGAAAAAGTACAGAGAAAAAAAACAATTACACAACACTCTTCTTTTTTATTCTCTTGCCATTTGTTCAGAGGCAGATTTTAAGGAGGTCAAAGGCTTCAGGGGCCACCGCGAGGCCAGATAATAAATCAGGAAAGGCGAGATAGATTCATTGATAGGGGAACATCATAAAAGGACTCTATTGTAGTAATGAAGACAAGGTGTGTAGGCTGGTTTCTCTGCAGGTCGCTCAAGATGGGTTCCACGCAATTTTGCAAGGTTCCACTTAGCAGCAACGTTTGCAAAGGGCTGGAATCAAAAGACACTTCAAATGTTTTACATTCCTGTCAGAGTTAACTAGAAGACGGACCCCTATGTGATAGGGAGACTGGGTGAAAGTTATGAGGTTTAACGTGGGAGATGTGGCCAAAAACTCAGTGGGTGCAATGGATAACAGCATGTGATCATAAAGATGTCACAAAAGACGAAGTCTCAATATCAGCCAAGGTGCTGGCATCCAGATGTGGAGGTACCACGTGCCTCGTCCTTCATGCCAAATCTGAAGCTAACAAGCAGAACCTCTGAGTTCTTTTGAAGTAAGTGCCAAAAGGTATTTGGAACCTTAACAATGCATAATTTATGACAATGCTGTCTAGCAGGGTGTAAAACGTTGAAGTTTGTCTGAGAAAAAAGTGTCTTCATTTCTTTTATTCTCTTGGCCTTTATTTCCTTAGCTGGAATTTTCCCACATTATCTGCTTTTCCAGCACCTGCTTAACACTTTGACAAAATTAATGACCTATGTAAGCTGGTGTTAAGTGTTTCACTTTACCGCTGATGGAGGATCAAAGATGATCTTGCAGAAGATGTTGACTTTGGAGAAAAAGTTGTTCTAGATTGGTGATTAAATCAGTTCCTGGCAGCTCTGACTGTGTGGTAGATAGAAATTCAAATGTACATTAAAAAATACTTTATTGATCCCAAAGGGGAATTAAATGATGTAACTCATATTAGAAAATGAAAGCATCTTGTCATCAGAAGGAAGCAGGAACTGATATATAATTTCCTGGTAGATGACTGTTCTTACTTTGGAGCTATACATAAAAAAATAAACAAATAAATAAATAGTATATATATATATATTTTTGCCTAAGTAAGACGCTTGGTGTCTCTAGTCACTTAACACAAGGATTGTAAGAATTATAGCTCCTGTCTTTAATACATCTGTATGCGGTTCTTTAAGCACCGACTCCACCTGCAGTCACTGCTTTGTCAGCCTCCCCCAAAACTTTTGAAAAAGCTTTGGTTCAAGACTTTAGTTATCCCTGTTGATTGTGCACCTGTTTCTCCAGCATATTTTCCTTTCACTTAACATTTTTAATGAAGATGCTTCCATTCAGCACTGAACAGTCAGCTTTTTTGTTGGTGTAAATGTCAAGTCAGCAATCTTCCTCATGATTGGACATAACAATGTATTTTTTTTTTCTAAGAGCTACAAGATAATAAAATTAATTTGGTAAAGAAACAGTAATAAGCGCTTGACGGTGTACTTATGAACAAGTGCAGATAAATCCGAGGATCACGTTTTAGCTCTTGCTGAAACACTGGTACAGAGTTTAACTGGTTTTAATTTATGATTCTATGAGCAAAGTCTGTGCTGCTGAATTGTAGACAATTTACTGATATGAAATATGCATTATCAGGAAGAAATTATGTTAAATGTTTAGTTATTTTAGCTTCTGTGGTGTCCCGCAGCACAGAGGCATCAGGCTTTGCTTGGACCATATTTTTTGAACTGGGACTGATCAAAAAAGGAACGTTATGGATCAGCCTTTTTTGCTGAAGCATCTTCACACTACCAATTTGAAGAAGACCACCAATCATACCCTACACTTTAACAGACAGTGCTGTGTGATCATAACAGGCCCATGCATAGTAGGTACATTTTAGTTCTATATAATTTAGCAGAAAACTGTTTACCTTTTATCTGATGACATTTGGGATTATCACCATTACCACATCTTTTAACAGAGCATTTATTTCCCTGACTCCACCTGCTGGCGTTGATTTAAGTAAAATTGAAAAAGGATCTGTTAAAGTTGGGTGAAAGTACTTTCTAACCTTAAAGCAACTAAAACCATATGGGAGGGTGATTTCATAAATAAAACTCTGTGTGAAGTAAAGCATGAAAATGAAAAATATACCCTGCAATTTCCAAGGGATTCCCCACCACCTTCTCCATTCACCGAGGCAAATGTGCAGCCGAAACATTTAACTGCAACAAAATGTGAGAAAATTTGTACCCATAAACGTAAAATTACTTTTGTTCATTTGAACCCCCTCTGCCTTTTCAGTTCCTGCCAAGTTCGCCTCTGAGGCTTTGGACAGTCATGTGCTGAAGAAACAGAAAGAGAGAGAGACGTGAAGGAAGGAGGGAGTGAAAAAAATCAAAGAAAATTCCTTACATGGAGATTTATAACTCTGATGAAATCTCCCTTTGTGGATTGAGCAGAAGGAGCAGCAGAAAGTGTTGTGAAAAACACCTATGAGAGAACAGGGAGATTGGCCCGGCATCAGCCACAAAATACCTTCATGACTCTTGTTATCAGGTATAAATAAAACAATGAAAATCCCACTCAAAGAAGTCTACCATTTTCCATGATTCAGCTGTTCTGAATAACTCAAAGAACTTCTGGTCCTCCTGCAGGATCGACTATTAAAAGTCTTGACACTTCAGTTTGAAGATATATGGGCCAGTGTTTTGCAGGTGCAGGGTTTTGATGTTTAAAGAGCATAATAAACCTTCAGTGTCCAGACAACTCCACATTTCTCTGTAGAATTAACACATTTACTTATAAAAATAAAAAAATATATATAAACATCATTTTTGAATGGTTTGAGTACTGTATCATGAATGAAAGGTATGCAAACAACGATAATTAACACAATGTGTTTATCTGGAACAATGAACACATGATCAATCAATCAAACAGAAGGAAGCAGCTTTGCCATCAGTGGAATTTCAAAATAAATTGATATGTGAATAAATTAGATTTATCAAAGTTCTGCTATGCTACAATTCAGAAGAAAATATAGATCATGTTCAAAAGTCCAAATCTGATTTGTAAATAAAGTCAAAGGCTCAAAATATTAGCAACTTTTCATAAATTTCCTTGTATATTAAATCAAAATGCTCAGATTTTTTAATGTTTTTGACAAAAATATATTTTATTAATTTCTCAAAAATTGCAAAGCAGCTGACTACAAACTTCACAGTGCTGATCCCCTAAATAATTTTATTATATTTTTTTATTCTGTTTTTGTATCTGCGTCAGACAAGACGCAAATAGGGGGAGTTCAGTGTTACGGTCCAATGGTATGTACTTTCTCATGACCTTGGATAATCGTTTCTCAAAACTATCCATCCTGCTTTCTGGCTGAAAAATCAGCTTCTGAAAGTTGAGTAGTTTGGGCTTTTTTCCATCATAAACAATTCTGACCAATCACACAATAGTTTCAGATGCAGAGGGCAGGTACAAAATGTTTGCCATGGGGGTTGTGACAGAAAGGGGTGGAAGATTTGAGGCTGACAACAAACTGACACAATTGTTGTAATGCAGCTGCAACAATGACAACTGATTTCATAACTTCTGCTTGAACATGCCGAGTCCTACAGGCTGAGCTCATCTATCTGACAGTCAGTTCATCTCAGTCTCTTATATCAGCTTAGACTGACCTGAAAAAATACACCATCAGTTTTTTGACCAGCTATTTCTTTAACATGAGAAACTAGAGCAGGACCCTCATTTCTGCAGATCTGTCTCTTGATTATTCTGCCTATCCTTCTTTTAGTTATGAACAGCCAACCAAACACTATTTGAGGCAGAGATAAACCTCCAGAAAGGAAAACCATGGGAACTGTTGGACTTCATCCGGATTTGGGGCAGAGGGTCACCCTTATTTCCACAGTCCCTGGTAGTCGACACTTGAATTCTGGTCCTTGGCCCTGAAAAGGGTCCACCGCCTACACAGAGGAATGTTGAGGGTGTTAGCCATGTGAGCTGGGTGGAAGGAGAGAACAGTGCCTTGACACGATCTAGCCTAAAATTCAACTATGCTTCCAAAATATTTTAAATATGGTGGGCCTATGTTACATCTCTTCTGGTCAAACTAAGTTAAAAAAAAACACAAAGTCTTCACTGAGTTTAAACATTAGCATTTAAAACTGATTTCTAGGAGGGATTTTGTGGTAAGTTGGAGGTTGACTATTTTGTTCCCAAAATAGTTCAGAATCTGAAGTTTTTGAAATCCAGTGTAATTTAGGGAATTTGGTCTAGAAATCAGGGAGATGCATATAAACATGCCTAACCTCCTGCCACCAGTACCCATGTTAGAAAAGTTAATGAAGTTAAGTCGCTCTTCTCTTTGTGTGAAACGATGACACATTATTAGTCACCACTAAGATATATTTGTACCAAATTATATTAGATGGTATTCGCTCAATTTTGAGCAAATACAATTGTCAATTGGAGATCAATTGGAGATCAATACATTATTGATCTCCAACTGACTGACCACAGAAGACAGTGACTGCATGCAAGATGCCAAACAATCTAAAATAATCTGCAGAAGACTCAGAATAGTTCAGAATAGACAGCCTTATATAATTTGCACATGAAAAATATGTCAGCTTGCAGACTGTAATTCATTGCCAATAGTTGGAAGTAGTACAGAAAAAATTATTATTTTTTTTCTGCGGTTTATATCTTATTATTTCACACTATTATTATTTTGCTAAAATCTTCTTTTCACTCGTATGTTAACCAGCTTTTTAAAGTGCAGCATCCACATATGGAAAAGACTGTATGGCAAAAAGAATTGCTTGTTTTTTTTTTGTTTTGTTTTTTTCTCAATACAATGTAATCTTGTGGTCTTTATGACACCTCAAATGGTAAAAAAGATAAAAATCAACCCATCATAAACTCTATAGAGAGGAGAAAGTTGTCCATTCATGTAAAGTTTAAGATGCTCCATCTACTTCATCCTGAAATTGGCTCCTACTTTGTTAATATGCCAGTAAATAGAAAAAGAACAGACTCAGTTTTGGGAAACTAGAACTTACTGCACCTAGCTGTGGTAAACTGCAGACCAGACGTCTGTGTTACGGTTCTTGGTGGAGATTGCTAAGCTTCCTTCTCTCGTCTCCCACAGCTCCACGTTTGCACAGTGGGGTGGGGGGATTCCTGGATGGCACAGTGGCCCATATGGCCAATCACTCAAGCAGGGCCAAGGATGTTTTCAAAGAGACCCGGCAGCAACTTGACGCGGGACTGTCTCCACGGGGGTCAGCGGTCGTCTGGGCAGGAGAGGCCGACCTCCTGCTGTCCTCTCAGGGGCAGACATCTCAACTCCTGAGCTTCAACCCCGCCTCCTGTCTCTATGACCCACCCACACATAAGCACAGTCATCACCACCTTCTCCATACAGAGCACACAGGGCTGCCATAGCCTGCTAATAGGACAAGGATCATGACCTTGAGAGCTGGACAAACATTAGACACAGCCATCCAACGGGTGTTTATTTATGATGGGATTATTTCTGAGTATTATGTCTATGATGTTAAGTTTTGTTCGACTTTTGGATTTGGAATGAGACATTATATTTGCCATTGTACATTTCAGCAGAAATTTGAAACATAACCATGTAGATATTATAACAACTCCAAAAACCCATTTTACGTTTAACCTAAGCCATAAATTAAGCTGACCAATTAGGCAACACTAGAAATAAGAGATATAACATAATCTTCTATTACATCAGAGGTAAAACGCTCAAAGAAGACAATAAAAAAAATTAAATGCAATATAAAAACAGTTTTGCTAATTTTCCTTTTTCTTTGGTTTTTAAAACTTAAGTATGTAAACAAGCTAAACAAAATGTCGGGTGGCTGGAGCTGAACATGATATGAAAGGAAGGAAACTGTTTTTGTGAACTGAGTTGGAATCTGACTGCCATGATATGCCTCCAACAGCTGTTTACAGTGTGAGACGTCACACAGTTAACTCATGTGACTGACTAATATCTTTGTTGATTCTCCAGCAGTTAAATTAGTTACCTAAGAAGAGCTCTCTCCAATTTCCTAGTGAGAACGTCGACCACAGTTGTTGTTTTCGTCAAAGATAGAACAACGACAGGTGAGACAAGTCACTCCAGCACCACCCTGCTGCAGCACAAAGCAAACAAGCAAAAGAAAATTTGCATTTATCTTTAACATGTATGGAAATGATTCCTTCAGATTGAAACACAATTTGAAAACATGTCTATATTTGAAATTGTTTTCAAAATTGTTATTTATTTGTCTGTTTGTGTGATTTTGTGCATGTAAATGTTATGTAAAATGTCCCAATTTTTTTTCTATTTCAACTGTTTGTTGCAATAGCTTGTTGTTGAGAATTTACTAGGCTTCCCATGTTACTTTTTTTTGGGAATGTTGAATTATTTTTATGATATTTTGTGTTTAATCCCTGCATAATTTATGTGTGCAATTATTTATTTGTTTACCTTCATATGCAAACATGAAGAAAAATAAATAAATACAACCAAGGGGTGCATCATATGAAATGAGAATAAAATATATCTTCAAACCAATGTTTTTGTATAAGGTAAGAAAGATTTGAATAAAAACCTTGTGGTTCAGATTTTATTTATAATTGGATTCATTTTTTATTAGGAGAAAAAAAAACATACATTTGACACAAAGGCCAGATTTATTGTCTCTCTAGCACTGAAATAAATTACAGCAAATTAGAAAGCTACAAACATCCAAGAATATTACAACTAAAATTTACTGAATTACCTGTGACAAAAGCTATTTTTATATATAAGTATACTTACATTTGAGACATAATTTGTTATTTTTTAGGGTCAAGATACAAAGTATGCATGTCTTCTTTTACTTACTAATTTGGTTTTGCAACATTATCTACACAAAAAAGTGTAGAATCTGTAAAAAAAATAATAATAATAATTTATTAGAGCTTCAGCATTTATGGCCTCATCAGAATTTATTAAATTAAGAATTTATAAACAAAATAAATAACGGTGAAATTAGCTTCTGACAAAAGTTGGAAAACTTGCATAATCAGTGTTTTGTTTTTTTCTCGCTCTTCCACATGTCCAAAATATAAACCTAAGGTTTTACAAGTTCTCTGGGTCACAAAGATTAGATGCTTTTATATTCTGTAATGTGAAGCTAGATTGTTTTTTACTATTTTGCAAATTTGTAAAGATTTTTTTTTAATTAATTGTGACTAAAACAATTTACCAGAGGAGAGAGAAAGAAAGTGACTTTTCAAATATGTTTAAACACAACAATTAAAAATCGGAAAAATAAACTATTTAGTAAATGTTTTCTCATCGCTACAAAAACAGCAACATTACAAGACCATTAACAAAGTTTGAGATTGGCAATTACCGTATTGGCCATATTCTTGCCAAAAGAAAATAGATTACTTGAAGTTAACAGAAAACTTCTGTGCAGTTTGTGAAGAAGCTAAATAAAAAAAAATCATTACTCTATAATCCTAACCTGAGTTTGTTCAGCAGATTTTCTTTGGAGCCGAATAGAACAAGAATTGCAGTGTTGGGATCGATGTTGTTACTCAGCAAAGAGGAAGACATGACCTCACGGCAGTCAAAGGAAGAGCGCCGCCTCTCCTATACATGGCAGTGGACTCAGCTCTGTTGTCAGCATTCCCCGTCTGCTCTCTTCTTTCAGCTGCCCAGTCGCTCAGCACGACCTACGTTTGGGGTGATCATGAATCATGGAAATTGATTATGCTGCCACATCTCAAATCCCTCTGGCCAGGGCTTGACCGCAGAGAGTGTGACTGTAGGTCGGTCAAGCCTGCTTAAGGGACACACTGCTCGCTGCCCCCGAGAAGGGCCAGTCGGCCGGACTGCCCCCATAGGGTCAGGCGGCTCGCTACCATGGCAAATGGAGGAAGATCACTCACTCTGGCAGGAAGGAATGAAGACGTCCTTCTTAAAATACCAGTCAGGCCATCACGCTCCAGGCTTCTTTTCTTCCCCTACCCTTCCAACTCCTCATCACCACTTTCCACGAGTCATCTGTCTTTATCAGTGCACAATGCTAATGACTTCATCTCTAATAGCAGACCATTCCTCTCTGCCTTCCACCAGGATTCTTGAAGAAGTCTTAAATAACATCAGAACATGCCAGAGGAAATCTTGGGGTTTTGAATATCTTTGTTTCATCACATGTGCAATCATAAGCAATCAGGACCAATTTGAATTTGAGGAAAGAAAATAAGGAGACCGAGGCTCATAGAAGAAACTGCTAAGCTCAGTTACCATTTAAATGCTTCAATACAAACACCTGTTAGAGAAAACTCAAAGAGCATATTTGCTAAATCTTATGTCGTTAAAAAACATAAATTATAGCTGTTAAGCTAAACAAAAAATGGCTTTCTTCTTTTGCCAGTTTTCTCTCTGTAGAAATAAATCATTTCTAAAACGAAACAGAGCTGGTTTTATTAGCATCTGAATGTTTGTAGTTTATCATTTCAACATTATTTTTCTGCTGCCGCTGCCGTACATTTGCCTTTAACCCAGAGTTTCCAGACTCCCCTTAATGATTTCAGCAGACTGTTGTTCTTTTTTATTATGATGATAAATCTGCTGTAACAAGCTGAAAACACCCATAAATCTGAGGCCGAGCCCGTGTTGCAACGGGTCAGTGTTTCTATGGCGACGCATCAATCCTTCCAAGGGGGCAACGGCAAGCTCTATAAAAGCAGTGAGTGTCTGTGACACTGTTACTGTTGTTATTTTGGGAGAACCGTTAAAATGTTTTCAAACCACAAAAAGTGAAGGGGCCACTTAACATTTCCCAGACCTGTCAGCGTTTTAGATCTTTCTGGATTATCTGCACACCTCAGGCAGCCTATGAGGACGCTGCAGGTTTGGTAATTGGATTTTCTCATCAGAGACCAGCTATGAAAAACACAGACTAAATATAAAGCTGTTTGTAAACGTAATTTAAAAATAGGACATTTATATAAAATATTTATTCATTTTTTCAAAGTTCTTCTTGCTAACCAGTGATGAAAATCAAAAACAGCAAATGTTTTTTAATAAAATTTTGCTTAAAAATTCCCCCCATAAAGTAATTGAAATATGAACTGTGTTAATTTTGCAAAGTCAAATAGAAAATCATTCACCACAAGAAAAAAAACAACAAAAAAAGAATGAGTTCTTCACATTCCTACAGGGTCTGCAGTTTGGGCTGGAGCTAAAAATTCATTTGACCAACAACTTTCCCTGTCAATTAGTCAAACAACTTCAGCAACATACGTACACACATTAGTAGAAACTGTTATTCAGCTGTAGGATGACATTTATATAGACTAATTTTTACATTTTATTTTATTAAATTGAAATTGTTTAGATGAAAATGAATATTTGAAAAAAAAAAGTATGTAAGGATACTTCTTCTACAAGTGTTGACTGCGGTGGATTAGGATTACTTCCTCACTTCTGACATCTACTGTTTGAGAAGAGAACTGCACCAAATGTTAATGCCTGGTCACAAGGCACAACTTTAACATTGTTGCTTGATTTTCTAAATCTGAGAAACCTCACATATAACAATTAAAAAAAATTAGCATTATATTAAGTTTGGTTCTACAGTGTGAGGTCAACAGCCAGACATGAAAGACAACACAACACACACTAACAAATTTCACTTGACGGCATTTAGACCTCAGACAGGAAATCTCACAAAGACATTTCAAGTTTAAATGAAGGGGAAAAGAATAACTAAGAGAAACAACTCCAAAAGCACAGAAAAACAAGAATAAACCGAGGAAACTAAAAACAAAGGATGGCAGCAGCTTTCTAACAATAATGGACAAAGGAGTTATGAAGTGATTATGGTAAAACCTATCAAAAATAAACAAACAGGGACATGATCAACAAATAAAATCCAAAATCCAAATAATCAAAATGTCTGCTAATGCCAGTACAGGGACGGAGGATGACAAAATCAAGGAAAATGGGATTATTTGAGTTTCCCTTTGCAGGTGATTGTTTTTTATTCAGGTGATTGTGTTGAAAATGTTTTAGTTCACAGAGTTCACACAATCAAAGAAGTAATCAAAAGGACAGATTTAAGGGCATATTGATTTAAACAATGCAGTGGGTTGTGCTCACATTCTTTTTTTTCACATGCATAAAACATAACTTCCTGACAAAGGCAGACAAATGCCTCACTGATTAGAAGTATGTTTTTCACTCGCAATCAGAAAAATTTTTGGCATTGGATGTTCAAAGACTTAGTTATTGAATGTAATCCAGATTTTTCATTGTATCAAAATTATGTTTGAAGAGTTTTTATTAGCCTTAAACTTAAATGAATCTGTTTTTTCTGACAAAAAACAGGCCAATCATACATTAGCAGATCAAAGGCGAACACTCCGTCATCATTTGGTCTGCTGCTCATTGTTTCTTGAGCTTCCAGCAGCACCGTCCGCCCAGCGGTGTACACTCCCAACAAGGTGTCCCGGCAAAGACCCAGAGCCTGTGCTGAAAGAAGCATCTCACGCTCAAACTTCACTTGATCCTGAGCGAAACCCTCACTTGCTCGTTTATCTTTCCAGGGACAGTTCGTTCTTCGCCACGTTAATGAATGCCAGTTGTTTCTTGTGCTTCACAAGCAGGAACTTTGTATTTGGCCTGAGATCAATCAAATAATGCATTGCACAACATAGTTGTGTTTTGGCCGATCAGGTTTTTTTTTTTTTTTTTGTCTTTTTTTCCACAGACTTTATGAAGTGTGTTTTAACAAATAGTTACAAAGTGGAATGACACTTATTACCCCAGATTTAAGGCAAAAGTATAACATAGACTTAATGTATAGACTGGAACAATCAAGTTGCTGTGATAGAACATTTACCAATCAGCAATTGATTTCTACCCCAGGCAGGATACATTCCTTAATAAAAAAAATATTGAAAATCTTCAAACAGTGCTCTAAATATTATGCATGTACACATCTGATCAAAATTATTAATCACAGAAACAGTTGAGGATGTGATTGTCTTTTTCAATAATAATATGTGTCTCATACTACAAACAGCAATTTCCCACTAAATCACCTGGAATTTGAATGCCAGGTGATTTAGTAGCACCTGGCATTCAAATTCACCAGGTGCTACTAAATATAGCTGGAGTTTTTCAGGTCTCTAACCAAAATTAAGGCTCAGGTTATTACTTTGATCATGTAATGTTAGTTGCTTTAGTAAAGGGCAGCTGCACCTATTCCAAATCTCTGGTGATCAGCTCTCCATATGAAAGTTTTCATTCATATCTCCACTGTCTAACAATGTCACTGGTTAGTGCTAGATTCTTGACCTAAGGACACATCAGTTGTAGACTTTGCCTGATGTTGCAGCGTCCATCTTCTTCAGTCGTGCTCAGTGAGTATGGCAAGCCAAGCCCAAAACATGGCACTGTGCTGCAGTGTGACATTATGATCCTGTTCCCTCTGAGTCACTAAGGCACTCCTTCACTTATGACTCCTCATCAAAGTAACAACCATGTTATCACAGCAAAAGCCCTTCATATTGAATGCTAAGATTTCTAATTAAACTGTCACAATGAAAGAATTTGCTTTCAAATCTGATTGGAAAGAAGAAAACTATGGTAAAAGAGATTTAAACTGAATAATTAAAAACCTCCAAATTTTCTGTTTTAGAACAGTCATGTGACATACAGATTTAATTACATAATAAAAGTTAAAGGTGGAAGAAAATAAGCTTAAATAAGTGGTCACATGCCTTTTCTCATTCAGCATCTGTTTGTGATCATTTTCTACCCATTGCATCTTTCTTCACTTGAATGATCTGAGAATTTTTGTTTTGGAAACTCATATTGCAAAATCCTCCAGAATCCTTTGATTCTTCCAACTGTTGCCAAATCAGGTTATCACCTTAATCAAGCTTTCATCAATTACTTAGACCTTCCTCAACAAGCAGATCAAACAGAGCTATGATCATCTGATGACATTTCATTCTGCAAAATCCTGTCGGTGGCAGTAATAGGAGACCAACAAGAAGAAAAAAACAGGCAGAAGATGAATGGAAATCATTCATATATGCAGCCATAAATTGTAATCATGTGTGAAATGTTTTTGTCATCATATTATGGAAAAGAAACATTGAAGACTGAAGTAAATATGGAACAACTGGTATTTATTTTATTTTGTGGAAAGTATTTTAGAAGACTATACAGATTTGTTTCATATATTTTGTTGAGTAATTTTCAGTAGTTGACCATTTACCTATAGTAGAAATAAGTTAGAAAAAACTGGATTTGGAGAAACAAAACTTTTCCAGCAGGAGAAAAACCAACAGCTACCAAAACAGAGGCTCAAGTCAAAGCAGAGTTTAACATAATAATATATATTTTTAAAATCTATCTCAAAAAGCCTGGTGCATTAAATATGTACATTTTTAATATCTACATTTTTGAAAGAGACTGAAGTAGGTAGATTTGCTGAAATAAATTGGGATTCAGCCAAACATCTAGATAGGTTGAAGATAACTTGCTGAGGTTCAAACTGAGTATCAAAATGAAGAAAGTGTGTGATAGGAATAGTGGGAATGGGGGATATTTTCTTGAATACTTTGGGCTCGATCATTTAAGCACCATGTTCTGACTGGGTATTTTTCTGACCATGTTCATTTCTTCTTGACCACAGTAAACTTATCTTCTGCTGCCAACTTCCTGCAGGATATTGCACCATGTCACAAAAAAATAAATCATAATAAACTACTTTCTTTAATATGACAATGAATTCACTGTTTCACAAAGGCCTCCACAGTTACCAGAT